GTCCAGCTTTAACATCGGTATCGATATCGGTTATCGAGTTTTAAAATATCGGCATATCGCATATCGGCCAAAATCCCAATATCGTGCATCCCTAATGTGAAGTTATACTTTGGCATCGGTGTCAGAAATAAGGAAATCTTTTAGCACCAGCATCAAATTGGGCAGCATGTCAGAATGGACTGTTTGGTGGTGCTGGTCGGCCGTCATAAGATGATCGGAGCGCGAAGGTTTCTTTCTGAAACAGGTTGTGGGATGATGACTTCATTCCCGTAACATTATGACTCTATTCTCGTAGTATTACAACTTTATTCTCAAAATAAAGCAAAATAAAAAAAATCTCGAATTTTACTTCAACATTTTTTTTTTCTTTCAATTCTCTGTTTTTCAGATCACATCCTCTACACTTCTGGGGGGGGGGGCTTTCCTCTGGAGGAAGGAGCAAAGATGCATTTCTAATAGTCTGATGGAATTTAGCAACAACATTCTGGTTTGTGTTGAGCTTTGGTGAAGAGAATGTGATCATAGAAGTCCATCTGAATGAATAAAATTAAAAATGCAATAATCTGTAAACAACAAAAATAAATAAAATCACATAAACTGTAAAGTTACTTTTAAAACCCTTTTTTCATTGAAATGTTTTTTTAAAGTTTCATTTCTTAATGACTTTTTTTCCCTCCAACCTTCCAGACGTTTCGCTGAGGTCTGTGCCTCTGGGCTTTACCTGACAGACAGCAGGGACAGCGCCCTCATCACCATGGTCCTGGCCAGCAGCACCTGAGCTGCAGCCGTCACCCTCCTCAGCGCCATGACGCGGTCGTGGGGGTTCAGGAGGGCGGCGGCCTGCTCTCCCAGCGTCATCCTGCCTGAGGAGCTCTTATCCACCGAGGTCTGACATCCTGGAGACAAACAGCGGCTCAGACGGCTGCCGTTTCACGCACGCCTTCTACCTCACAGCGCAGATGTTACCTATCTGCAGCAGTGTCTCCTCCATGCTGTTGGAGGCCGTCACCATGGCGATGGAGGCCCCCAGGGGGTCGCTGTCAGGGAACTGGACGGGCTCAGGAACGATCCTTCGCTCGCTCAGACCCAACGGACCAGATAACAGCTCGAACTCCTCCTCCCCCGTCAGCTTCTCGTCTTCGTCCACATCCAGCATGTCCCAGTCCTCTGCAGGGGAACAGGTAGACGGTGAGAGAGCCGCCAGCGTTGGCGCTGCGGCCAAACGGGGCGTAGGCTCACCTTCGTAAACGCTGTCCTGTTTCCCCAGGAGGTCTGGCGCCTGACCCTTGTACCTGAACCAAACAAGCTCAGCATAAACAATCTGGCAGTAAAGGTGTTAGATCCAGACAGGTCGCACCAGAGGAAGCAGGTGGGTCGGGGAGGCTCACCTCTCCACGGCGGGGACTCTGGCCTTGCTCTTGATGGCCAGGTATTTCTCCCTGCAGCTCCCACACAGCAGGTAGTACGGGTTCCCGCTGCCGCACTCTCCTCCGAACCAGCCGTCTACGTACGAGCCGTTGCTTCGGTAACCCTGCCGGTTGGCGCTGCGCCCGCAGCCGGGATGGCTCTTCTTCATGTGCTGGTTGAAGTTGGCCACGTTGGCCTCGCAGAGCTCGCACACCACCACCTCGTCGCGGTCGTCGGCCTCACAGACGTGCTGCGGGGAGAAAACGCGCACGTTAGGCACACACGGCTACTGGGAGGCGGAGACATGCAGAGTGGAAAGATGGACGCCAAGCAGCAGCCGATCAACACTGAGGAACTGGTTGGACGTCGTTTCAGCGTGCTTGTGTAAGGCAGCGAGGTGATGGCAGCTCATTGGCTGGAGCAGAAAGTCACACACACCCATGTTGGCCAGTCCAGTACCTCCGGGATCCACATTCCCAGAATGTCCGTGTCGCTGGCTAGGTCCTGGCCAAACATGGCCTCCATGGTCTCCTCGTCCAGGTCCATCTCCAGCTCCTCGTCCAGGTTGAAGTCATATAAGGCACCCGGATCCTGCTGCTGCTGCTGCAGAGCAGAGACGTCCCGACGGGACTGGCTGTGGTGGGCCTGAACCGAGCGGTACAGCCCGGCTGAGGGGGACAGAAAGTTCTGAGTGAGCAGCTGGAAGGATAGTAAAAGTCTACCCAGGATGTGTTTGATGTTCTCACCAGCGCGTGCCAGCAGCGTGCGTGCAGCCAGGTCAAAGCGGTGCTTGCGTCCAGCTGCAGAGCGTCTACCGATGGGGGCGCCACTGGACGCCGATGCGCTGTCCTGCTCCAGACCTTCAGGACTACAAAACCCACAAGGACATCATTTAAAAATAACCTCCAGAATCATTCTGTTGGCAAACTGAGACAGTTTAGTCTTCATCAAGAGTCTGGAGAAAAAATGGAGCGCCCCAGACGTACCTCTCACTGAAGCCCTCCTCCATCTCTGACGCATCAGCGCCGGCAACGTCTGCAGGAGAACACAGGTACGAGTTCCTCTCCAAGGATTTTCCTCCAGTGGACGCCATTGCTCCTGGACAGGAGGAGTCGGAGCCGTCGCCTCCAAGCGTGCCGTTTCTGGCGTGGGGCTCGTCCCGCTCGTCGTCTGTGCCAGGATGTTCGATCATCCACATGGCGAGCACCGTGATGTTCTGGGCGTCCGCTTCTCCTCGAGCACCTGCCACCACAGGACAGAGCTCTCAGCTTCACAGAATCACAGAAATCATCCCTCCGTCTGCTCGGCTTTTTCTGCCTTCATCCTCTGATGGAGGATGGACACGGGGGACGGTGGACTGTCTGCACCAGGAGCTCCATGACTTCTCACTGTGCAGGTCCAAGGTGGTCTGCTACCAGAACCAGAACAGTGGTTCATTCAGTGACACTGCAGCGCTGGCAGTTCTCATTAGCGCCCCTAGTGGCTAAAAGTTAGAGTGCTTCAAAGGGAAAGACTTCAATGCCTTTCATAAATTAATGAAAATTGATTTATTTTTGTTTATTTTAATGTTGTCTGCAGGAGGTCGAACAAACAGTCATTAAGTTTTAGATTGTGTAAACATTTGTATAATAAATAAATGTAAACATAGCCATAGAGATCGGAGGTCATAGCCTGCAACACATGCTTCAGCGTGGCGCCAGGCAAATAAAGCGGCGGGTGTGTCTGAGAACCGAGGATTCAAAGAAGAATGGACAAAATGATTTGCTTTCATTATCAATGCGGACTTGTTGCCTGCATCTTTGCTTTGGAATGAGAGTTTGTCAAAAAAGTAAGAGTAATACGGAAAAGTATTTCCAGGGAATGCAGGCTAAATATTTGTGTTGTACCGACACCAGTATTGAGCGGAGCCCCGATCCAGCACTAAAATGGTGGTATTGGTATCGGCGAGTACCAACAATTAGGGCACCGATACCATTTTGAGAGCCAAAAGTTTATTTAGCTATTGTCACTCGTTCCAGGTAGGCAATAGAAAGTTCTACTGCATTCACTTTGTATTTGTCTTTTTTAGGGATGGAACGGTTTATGAAAACCGTTCGGTTTGACTGTCTCGGTTCGGTTCGCGTGTGTTGCGTTCGGTTCATGCGCTGCTCCTTTTTCTCATAGGTGAAGCGTTTACACTCCAGAGCAG